TCCGCTTGTAAGAAAATAAAGTTAGACTTGTATCCAACTGATTAAGAATGATTTTCAAATTAAAAACCAAGTAAAATAAATTCTGTTGTTGTTGCTGTTACGTGCTCTCGAGTCAGTTCCAACTCCTAGTGACCCTATATAGGATTTCTGAAGAGTGAATGGTGGATTTGAACCTCCAACCTTGCAGTTAGCCATTCAGCTTATCCTACAGTGCCCACCAGGACTCCAAAATTAATTCTAGGTAAATGAAAACGAATGCTGACTTTGGGTGCATTGTGTTGGCCCTCTGAGTTCTTATGCATCGGCTTGATTCATGACATTTGCATCTGAAATGTTTTCACAGAGCAGTGGTCCAGCGGTGTGTGCCCCTCAGTACCTGGTTTGTTCTCCCAACACTGGCTCAGCGGCACTTCTCCAAGTCATTACAAATGCTCTGAAAACCACCGTTTTTGGTGGCTGCCTCATAAATAGTACACACAGAGGTTCAACACAGGTTTCTTTTACCTCCCCCCAGTAGCTAGGAGCTCTGGTAGCATAGTGGTTACAAATCGGGCTGCAAACCTCAGGGTCAGCAGTTCGAAACTACCAGCTGTTCCGTGGGAGAAAGATGAGGCTTTCTGCTTCCATAAAGATTTACAGCCTTGGAAACCCTGTACAGGGTCGCTATGAGTCAGAACCAACTCCACCGCACATAACAACAACAGTAGCTAGAGCCAACTCAACAGCACAAAACAACAATAACAAGTAGCTGACAGGTAGGAGATTTACAATTTTTAGTTGTAAATAACATTGAAATCGGCATCCTAGTGCTTTCAGCTTTTCCAATATTATGGATTCTGTTTTAGGCTGGATTCCCAGAAATGAGATTACTGATGTGTCAAATATTCCATATTGAAAAATTATATTTCTAAAAGGAATTTGATGTGTTTTTTTTGTTTGTTTGTTGTTTTCTTGACTTACCATTGGTGTGGCTGGGTTGTACATGTAAAAAATGGTTGAAATAGCACATGTTTTGTTGTATATATATTGTTACAATCAAAGAAGAAAAGATCATAGAATTTTCCACAAACTCTTTGAAGCCCCTTTGTACAATTCACCCATTTAATTATACAGTTCAGTGTGCTTTAGCTTCTTACTTTGTATATTCACAGTTATGTGCAACCATTATCATCAATGTTTAGAACATTTTCATCTCCTTCAGCATCCCCAGCTCTTCCTCCTCCCGTAACCCTAGGCAACCAACCACAAACCTACTTTTTGTCTCTGTAGATTTCCCTGCTGAGGTACTACTGCACATAAATGGGACCATCCAGTAGGGTGACTGATTTTTAAAAAGATATATTTAACCTTTATTGTCATGTAATTTGCTGCTTGTGCCTCACCAGAGAAAAGACCCTTACTTGCACTTGATACTCCATCTTCTCGACTCGCTCCTTTTGCTCAGGGTCGGGCAGGAAGAGAGAAGAAACTGGAATGCTGGGAAGGCAGCCTTCCTAATCTCAACAAGGAAAATGACCCTTTTCTTACCTGGTTGACTTTTCAAGTGCTCTTTCTTTCTTTCTTTTAAATTGTAGTAAATATGTGGGAAACCAAACATGTGCCATCTCAACGCTCTTCACGGGCACACTTCAGTGACACTAATTTTGTTCATTGTACTGGGTAACAATCACCATAGCCCACTTCCAAATAGTTCCAACACTCTTAAAAGAAGCCCAAACTGAAACAAACAAATAAAACAGTTGCTGATGACTCAGGAGACCCTGTGCATGGCAAAGTAGATCCGTGCTTTATAGGATTTTCAGGGCTGTGACCTTTTGGAAACAGATTGCCAAGTCTTCTGAGTTGCCTCTTGGTGGGATCAAACTGCCAACCTTTCAGTTAAAAGTCAAATGCTTAATCATCGGCATCATGCAGGGGTTCCTAAGAGAAGTTCAATGTCCCCTAATGAATGAATCCCCCTTTGTCTCCTCCTTCTTACCCATCACTGGTAACCATTCATACAATTGGTTTCTATGCACTTGCCTATTCTAGACATTCCATAAGTTGTAGGTGTTGTTTAATGCTGTTGAGTCTGCTCCAACTCATAGCAACCTTTTGTAGGGTTTCCGAGGAACAATTAGAGGGTGTGAACTGCTGACCTTGTGGTTATCAGCCCAGTGCTTATCTTACACCAGGACTCCATTTCATAAGTGGGACCATAAAATATTTGTCCTTTTGTGACTGACTTATTTCACTCAGCATAACGTTTTCAAGGTTGATCCATGTTATGGCATGTATCAGAACTTCATTTCTCTTGATGGCTGAGTACTCTCCCACTGTATAGATGGACCACATTTTGTTTCAAGTGGCTTTCCTTTCTTGATAATGATGATGTGACGTGGAGTCGGTTCTGACTCATGCAACTCTGTACAGGTTTCCGAGGCTGTAAATCTTTATGGGAGCAGAAAACCTCATCTTTCTCCTGAGGGAGCAACTAGTGGATCCGAACTGCTAATCATAAGGCTCTTCCTTTCTTGGTGTTGTTGTTGTTGTTGTTAAATGCTATCAAGTTGGTTCAGACTCAGCAACTCTGTACAGGGTTTCTGAGGAGTGGTTGCTGGGCTTGAACCACTGACCTTGAAGTTAGCAGTCCAGAGCTTTTCCTACAGTGGCACACCAGGACTCCTCCTTTGTTAATTTACTTGAAATTGAGGCAGAAGTTCTTTTGAATACAAATTTCTTTAAAGTATTCAAAAGTCACAATGATGCTGACATTCTTTAAAGGGATGGAACCTGTCCTATCATGAACAGATGTCAAGGACATGAAGACAAAACTTGGGACAATGTTTTTCATTTGGAGGTGAATTTGTTGTCTAGGAAACAAATTTGGTTGTCTCAACTGGGATGGGTGCTACTGGCATTTGTCTGGTTGCTGTTGTTAAATGCCCTTGAGTCTGGCCCAACTCATGGTGACCCTGTATAGGGTTGCTGAGAAGTGACTGGTGAGTTTGAACCACTAATCTTGCAGTTCAAACCAACCTTGCGGTCCAGTGCTTATCCTAAGGCATCATCCGGTAGGTAGAGGCTGGTAAACATTTTACAAGATACACTTCAGCTCCCACAACAAAGAATGATTTGGCCCCAAAATCAGTGGTACTGAGGTTGAGAACCCCTGCTTTAGGCAAATACACCCACAAAAGACTTGACTTTGAGCAGATTCCCATGTGTTGTAAGGACCCCTGGCTAAACTGCAGACAGGGTACATGTTTATATTAAAAGGGTGGGAGTGGTTGAGCCGCAGGTTGAAGGTAGAATGTGGAGGAAGGCCGGGGGCATCTGGAGTCACACCTCTGGACATCAGGAGGCACAGGTGACCTGGGTTGAGGAATCTCCTCTGTCCTTCCCCAGGGCATCCAGCTACAACATGTTGGATGGTTCACCCGGAACATCTGTACCCCTGGGCAGATTCCTCAATGCCCTATTCCACTATATCCCCTGGGCAGTATGGTCATGCCTGCAATTCAGTTCCACTGATGTTAATGACTGCATCTTCCACTTGCTTCTTTACATCCTTCTCCATCCTGGTCCATGTGGACTGTATGACTGGCTCTCCTGTCCTCTGGATTCCAGCTGGATTTATCAGAGACCCAGAGCAAGGTCTGGACATTTCTTCTCCCAGCTCCTTTCCTGTTGGCTGCTGCAGCAGTGTCTCCACACAGTTCCTGTCTCTGAGTCCAGAGGCCCCTCCACCTCAGGGTGATAATGAGTCTCCCTGCTGCTAGCCACAGGGTACCTTGTGGCTTCTCTCATTCCTGTCCATACCTTTGTTAAGCGAGTTGCTCATTCACCCCTGAGTTAGGGTGATCCCTTGTGTAGCAGAGTGGAATTGTACTCCATACGATTTTCAATGACTGAGATTTGGGGGGAATAGATTACCAGGTCTTTCTTCCAAGGGGTCTCTGGTTGGACTTGAACCTCCAACCTTTTGGTTGCCAGCCTAGCACGTAACCATTTGTACCACTGAGGGACTCCTTGCTAATATCACCCCTTTATTAAATGCCCCTCAAATTACCCACCATGAGTATTTCAGTTTCCTGCCTGCTCTAAGTGTCTTTTGCCGGCTGCTCCAGCTCCACTGATCGGATGCTGCGTGTTCCTGCCTCGTTGGAAGCCTCAGTCTGCTGGACCCTCCTCTGACAGAGGTCAGAACTGTTTATTTCCTTAAAACCAGAACAAGATATTCTTGTCTTTCTCACTTCCAGGGCAAGGAGGTCTAGACCTCAAATCTAGCTGATTCATTTTGGCCTAGTTTGTGGCCAAGTTGTAAATACTTCCTGGTGCCAGAAGAGGAGGCTGAGTTTTTCTCCATCTGCGGGAGGTTTTACAACCCAACACCCATTTTAAAGGAAAGAAAAGTGAGGCCCGGGGTCATGTGTGAGTTTATACTTTATGCTTGGATTCTTTGGTCCCCATTCATGGAGGATGGTGGAATCTTCCTGATTGCTTCGTGGTGTGGCAGAGAAAGAGTGGGACCGCAAGGTGACACAAGTCAGCAGCTCTGGCTGCCCTGGATCTGAACATTGTCCCTTAGAAGGGCTAAATGCTTAACCTGGAGAGTCACTAAGCCCCTTTGAACATCAGGGCACCAGAACGCAACCCCATGATGACTATGGTCTAGAGTCGTCTTCACAGAGAGTAGTGGGCAAGCAGATGGAGGAACCGAGTCTCCACATCTTCCAATGTCACATAGCAGCACATGGCTAGCAGAGTTATGAGTGGGACCCGGAGCTGGGTCTCATCAATTTTCCTCCAAGACACGAGTCTGTCTCTAGAACAAGTGGGGTCATGCAGCTGGACCCTCAGTTGTTATGGCTCTGAATTAACGTGTAATGCTTTCATAGACCACGGAAGGGGTGGGTCAGAGAAAGGAGCCAGAGGGCAGGCTGGGGTGTGGGGCGGAGTCTGTGGCATGGGAGCCCTCATAAACCCAGGCAGGCAGGAGTAGTGCACGCGGGGAGACCATGGAGGGCAGTTTCACAGGGGGAGAGGAGTACCAGAAGTATTTCCAGCCCAGGGACTACCTGACCACCTACTACAACTTCGATGGCAGTCCTACCCCTGAGGCAGAGATGCTCAAGTTCAACCTGGAGTGTCTGCACAAGACATTCGGTCCTGGTGAGTGGAAGGCAGGGAGAAGGAGTCCCAGGAAGCCCACCTGGCTGGAAGCCTGGTCTTCTCTCGGGGGAGTCTGCAGGGGCTGGGTATGAGGAAGCTTAGCCAGTCCTGCTACTCTTTTTTTGGACAAGTGTATGTGGAAGGTTAGGTCTGCCTTCTCTAGTCCAGGACCTGAATGTCCAAATGGATCAGGGATAAGGAATGTGCAGTATGTAGGGTAGAAAGAGATGAGGAATTTGTGTCAGGGGGGAGCACAGCATCTTGCAATTTCTAAAATGCTCCCCATCAGTCCCTAGGTCTTTGGGTGTGTGACAGGGACCGATCTCCAGCTCACAAGTCCAGTCCTGACTCTGAGACCAGAGAAGGTCACAGGGAGACAGCAGCATGGAGCAGGGTCAGACTCAACTCATCCAGAGAGTGTGTAGCCCACATGTGGCTGTGACAAATGTCTGGAAAGGTCCCGTGAAAAGGGGAATCAGGAGTGCTGGGTGAAGTCTCAGCCCTGTCACAAACCTACTGAGAGATTTGGTCCTGGCTCTAGACTCCTATAGTCATGCCTTCCCTCCAGGGACTTGATTAGGTAAGCACAGGGTGAGTCTCCTGCGGAGGGGCAGGGGGAGGTTCCAAGGCTGCTGAGCCTGGAGGTGAAGGGGGTGGGAGGCAGAAATCAGAGAAGAGTCTGGCCGGCTGTGACCCCCACAGTGGGGAGATGGCTTCAAGCCCAGCTCCAGATGGAATGTTGGAAGTTAGATTTCATTCCAGCTTCTAGGTGACCCTCAGCTCACCCAGCATGCTTTCTCAGGTCATCTCCTTCTCAATCCCCTGCTTCCTGCTCTAGACTAACCCCCTTGTCCCACAGCTCACAAGAGGGGACACATCCATTCCAGCCTAGACATCAGGGGAGACTCCCCACCAGCCTTAAAGGGCCACACCCCGAGAGGTTCTCTGTCTGTTCCAGCCAACATCCTCTCCATAGTTGGGCCCCAGGTTCCTGTTCTCTGTAACGGAGGGACCAGAGTCAAGCTTTCAGCTGAAAGTTACCAGGCTAATTGTTGAACTGTTCTCAGACATGGTTTTCTAATCTGTAGAATGGAAATAAAAATAGTAGGCAACTGTAAAGTATATATAGAAATGAATGTAAACAAAATAAGGCAGTCCCAGATTATGAACTCCAATATATATGTTGTTATTGTTAAGCACGTTCAAGCGGATTCTGACTTATAGTTACCCTGTATACAGGGTTTCCAAGGAGCGGCTGGGGAGTTTGAACCGCCGCTGACCTTACAGTCCAGTACTTATTCTACAATGCCACACCAGGACTCCAATTTATATACAACCCACCAGAATTTTGAACCAAGCCTAAAAAGCCTCTTATGTGAAATATTGAAGGTAATACAATGGTTCAAAATAACAAATGCATGCTACTTTGCAGCACACATTATTATTGCTGTATTGTTATGTTACAGCAGTATCTTGAAGTATATCTTTAATATTTTTTGTGCATAGCAAGGTACACTGTATTCTAAGACAATCATTTATTGAACTGACATTAGATCTGAACCTGCCTAACTGACTTAACTTATATACAAATTTGACTTCAAGATAGACTGAGGGATGGAACTCGTTCGTAACCCTGGGACTGTCTGTCTACACATTGTGTTTGGCATGTAGCATCTCTGTGGTTAATGTGCTCTGCTGCTACCAGAGAAGTTGGAGGTTTGAGTCCCCCCAGAGATCCGTCAGAAGTAAGGTTTGACGGTCTGTTTCCAAAACAAATCAGTCATTGAGAGCCCTATGGAGACAATCCTACCCTGGCAGACTGAAATGAGACAGTTGACATGAAGCATCTGGTTTGTTTGTTTTATTCTGATTTGGCATGCAGGAAACTGTCAATCCATGAGCACTGCATTATTGCTGCTGCTTCCCCATTGGACAGCTCTAGGGTCTGCTCCTCCTGGTACTGCAAGTCTGTCTCTATTATAACTTGTTCACCTGCACCCTGCACCCAGGTAGCACAGCAGGGTCTAACATTGTAAAGATCACCTGAACCCTCAGATTCTCAGACCAGCCCCATCCATCTCACCCTCTCCCACAGGGGGCCTCAGAGGAGACACCCTGATCGACATAGGGTCGGGCCCTACCATCTACCAAGTGCTCGCTGCCTGTGAGTCCTTCCGAGACATCACACTCTCCGACTTCACTGACCGCAACCGGGAGGAGCTGGAAAAGTGGTTGAAGAAGGAGCCTGAGGCCTATGACTGGTCGTCAGTGGTGAAATTTGCCTGTGAGCTGGAGGGAGACAGGTAAGGTCTTAAAGGGGAAGGGTGGAAGGTTGGGGGTTCCTCCGGAGCTGGACATCAACTCTCTTTTCATGGGGCTTTCTAACCTAACTCTTTCTTACCTATGACACACCCAGGATCACAACAGTTTGGGGAGCATGTTTTGATCTCAGAACTGTGTAGTAATGTTAGACAGCCAGGCCTGAGCACTGAAGATCAGATGGTAGGACGTTTCCACCCAGTTAGTCAGTATCTGTCTGTCTGTCTATCTATCCATCCATCCACCCATTTATCATCTATCTAGATCAATCTATCATCTCTCTCTCTTTCTCTCTATCCATCTATCTATCTATATCAATCCATTCATTCATCTATCATCATCTATCTATACCTCCATCCATCATCTATTGTCTATTTATCACCCATCTATATCTGCCTAACTATCTATCATCTATCCATCCATCCATCTATTATCTATCACCCATCATTCTATTTATCTATCTATCTACCCATCCATCTATTCATCTATCTATCCATCTATCCTTCCATTAACCATCTATCACTTACCCACCCAAGTCTCCTTCTATCTTCTTATCTGTTGTCACTATATTGCGTCTAGTGACATGAACCCATTAGACAACCTGAGTACTTGTGCTGATCATGACTTACAAATAATTCTCCCCTGTTCCTTGCCCTTTGCCTTTCCCCGCCTGAGGTAATCACTAAATTTGAATCTTATGTTTATAATTCCTTTGCTGTTTAAAAATGATTTGATCGCATATTTATGTATGTCTAGATAATCCATTTTTTCCTTTTATTCACCTTTGGCCTTTATAGCAGACTAATTTGCTCTAGAATTCACTTGTTGTTATTCAATATTATATTTTAAAAGATATGCACATCCAGTCATAATGTGGTACTATGGGATAAGCACTGGATGACTAATCACAAAGTTGGCAGTTCAAACCCAGCTGTGAGTTGAATCCCACTCAACAGCACTCAGCAAGCAACAACAACAACATATTGGTGGTGGTTGTGTGTTGTGGCGTCTGTTCCAACTCATAGTAACCCTGTATGAATTCTGAGGCTGTCATTTTTAAAGGAGCAGAAAGCAGTTGGTAATTCAAACTGCTGACATTGAGGTTGGCAGCTCAACTCGTAACCCACTATGCTACCAAGGCTCCCTCAAAAAGATATTATTGTCATGGTGGTGAAGTGTCGTTGAGTTGGTTTCAACTCATAGCAACCCTTTGTAGGGTTTCTGGTGAGTTTAAACTGTTGATCTCATTATTCAAACTGACCTTGCAGTCCAGTGCTTATCCTACAGTGCCACACCAACACTCCAACAACATATTGGTGGTGATGCTGTGGAGTCGCTTCCGACTCATAGAGACCCTGTACAGGGTTTCCGAGGCTGTAAATCTTTATGGGAGTAGAAAGCCTCATCTTTCTCCCATGGAATGGCTGGTAGTTTCAAACTGCTGACCTTGAGGCCAGCAGCCCGCTACCGGAGCTCCTTCAACAACATATTGTTGTTAAGTGCTGTGAAGCAGTCCCGAACCATAGTGACCCTGTATAGGGTTTTGAAGGAGCGACTTTGCAGTCCAGCGCATTAACCCGCCCACAGCGCCACACCAGGGCTCCTCAACAGCATATTAGCTGTAGCTACTTCACCAATTCATTCACAAATGCCCAATCCACACTGGGGGTTCCTTGTCTCTTTTGGGGAGCTACAGGACGGGCCCACGTGGAAATTCATGCTGGGGAAACTGAGGTGCAGTTTAGGAAGAGCCTAATGTCAATCACACAAGGACTGAGGGATAGCAATCCTTTGGGGCCAGAGACAATTCGCATCATCAGCTGGTCACAGCGGCTTGAGTTCCTTTGGGATGAGACAGGCCTCCTCTGAGCGCTGCCCCTTCTCCGCAGCGGCCGGTGGCAGGAGAAAGAGAAGAAGCTGAGAAGCGTGGTGAAGCGGGTGCTCAAGTGTGACGCCAACCTGGCAAGCCCGCTGGCCCCGGCCGCACTGCCCCCTGCCGACTGCGTGCTCACGCTGCTGGCCATGGAGTGTGCCTGCTGCAGCCTGGACGCCTACCGCGCTGCGCTGTGCAACCTCGCCTCCCTGCTCAAGCCAGGGGGCCACCTGGTGACCACTGTCACTCTTGGGATCTCGTCTTACATGGTGGGGAAACGTGAATTTTCCTGTGTGGTCCTGGAGAAGGAGGGGGTGGAGCAGGCTGTCCTGGATGCTGGCTTCGACATCCAGCAGTTTCTGCACATTCCCAAGTGCTACTCGGCCACCATTGCTGCCAACAACGGGGTCTGCTTCATTGTGGCCCGGAAGAAGCCTGCGCCCTGAGCCGGGCTGGGCAGTTAGGGCTTCGCTGAGGCTCTGAGGCCCTGGGCCACCTATCTGCCCCTGATTTCAACACTACATTTTATCTTCTACAATTCTGGGAGGCTAACATTCTTGTTTTAGGATTTTAAATTTCCAACACCCTTATTCTAGGATCCTAGAAAATTTCATATTCTAACTTACTAAGCCTGATAGCTACCCCTAGATACTGAGTACCCCCAAACTCTTAACTTCAGAGTGTTCTTTACCAAAAATACTGGACACACACACACAAAATGTTCCTCCATATCATGATTTATTGGTAAGTGTTTAACAACCAGCTCTTTTTCTTTTCTTAAAAGGAAAAAAAGAGGGGTGGAGAGGGGAGTAATACTGATTTGTGTTGACTGCCAATTTCCATGGTGTAAATTCTCCCACTATGGTTTCAACCTACTAATGATTTAACAACCAGCTCACACAGTTCATGAAAATAACAAATAACAATGTGTTCTCAGCCGATGATGCAAGTCAACTCCAGCACACCATTGCTTCAAAACCTGGTTGTCCAATTTAGCAAATAAAATTCAGGGCAGCCAGTTAAATTAGAATTTCAGAGAATGGATCTTTTTTTTTTTTTTTTTTTTGTAAGGACAAATATATCCCATGCAATATTTAGAACAGAATTGTATTTTATTTTATCCTACATTTAATCTAGTAACTCCACTCTAGACTTATTCATCGAGGCCCAGAAAGGGAAGAGGCGCGTCCCAGAAAGCATTGTTATTGCTACCACACAAGAGACAGGTGCCCCTACATGTGAACAAATGACAGAAAGGTGTCCCTTTGAGATCCGTCTCCCTCTGGGAAAATTATGACAACAAGATGCCCCTTCTAGGCAAACCAAAGAAAGAAAGGTGCCTTTTCCTCACAACTGACTTGGCGCCACACCCACGTGCCTTTCAGCCTCACTCTGGCCCTCTCTGTCTCTCTACCAGCCCCTTTGTGTGGGGGCACCCCCAGCACAGCTAGACACCACAACTCTGCCAAGAGTCAGGAGATTGGATTCTAGTCCTAGCCCCACCACTAATATATTGAGTGATTTTGAGTGCGTCTTTTCCTTTCTCTGGGCCTCAGTTTCCTATCCATGAACTGGGGAGAATGGTACCTAATATGAAAATCTGCAATAAAATAAAATAAAATGAATCCTGGGGCAGGAAATTATGGCTGTGAAAGTGCTTTGAAAAGTAAAAGGTTTTGCACAAATTGAACTCTTGATATTATTTTCCTAAAGAATCCAAATTGGAATGGCCCTTAGAAACTGTAAGGCCATTCAATCCTTTTGTTTTACAGTTCAGAAAACTGAGGTCCTGAGAGGGTGAATGACTTATCCAGAAACACACAGCAAATTACTGACAGAGTAGAGGGGCTGAGAATCCAGGTTTCCCACTTCCTGGTGCTGTGGACCCTCCACTTCACTAGGTACCCCCTTGGAAGGGCATAGGAAGCCCCTCTTCCCACAGACCTGTTTCACAATCATAGCAATATATCTCCTTTCCAATGTCACATTTGACCCCAGAGAGAACATAGTTGCCAGCTCTTCCCCAGATGTGTTAGTCTAAGTAGAAGCCCCTCTGCACTTGGCAGGGTGGCATTATCTGTGTGAAATGGTCACTAAACAGAGGGAGATGGGTGTCCAGCAGACATGAGACCCTGAGAGCCTCCAGGGACAGGGGAAGGACAGAGACTAAAATGAGGTCGTTTAGAGGAAATGAACTTTGGCAAGCAGGGGTTTTGTACATAGAGGAGGTTCTGCTGAGAAAGCCAAAAAGAAGATGGTTTCAGGAACAAGGCTGGCGGACAGGAGATTAGATTGCTGTGGAAAGGAAGCTATGAGTGGGCCCCTCCTCTCAAGGTCAGCACCTCCCTTGTGTAATCTTTTCTAACTGCAGGCAAGAGATATAGAAAACCTAAACCAGGGGCCTCCCTCATTGGGAGGTCAGAACCAAGATTGAGAAAAGAGGGGAAAAGGATGGGCATGGTGGTGAAGAAGGGTTATAGGGGCTTGTGAAAGCTGTCTAAATTGTTAACATGGTTCCGGTTGGGCTATATACCTATTATTCAGCCACTTAAGGAAAAGTTGTACTTGCACCATGATTTAATAAAACAATGTTTTTCTACTTCAATCAGTGATGAGACAGTGTGTGTGGTGGTGGGGGGAGGGGGGGAGGGAGGGAGGGAAAGGAAGAGATGGAGTCTTTGGAGAAGAAAGCCCTCTGTGGTTGGAGAAAAGAAGCTGCTGCTTGGGGGTTGGTGGTGGACTTACAGAGCCTTTTATGTAATGATTCACTCGACTTCTGCTACCCAAGGATTATGCCACATCGATGAGGAGGAGTGCCCACAATACAAAACCCAACCATAGTGGCATCGCCATTTGTTTTTTTAACCTTCTCATGTAAAAATAGTGGCAGGTTTTGGTTCAGTGAGATTATGGCAATAGGGTTAACTTTCTGTGATGAACTTAGTCTTTCCTCGTTACTGCATGAAGCATCATACCTCCGTCTAAAGCCAGGAGATGGGGGAATAAAGGATTTTATCTTTATATCTCTTATGAAGAATGCAAAGAATGACTTCAAAAGTTTAATATAGCAGACATGGGTTGTGTCATGTAGCCCTCCACTAGTTGCAAGGCAGGCTGGGAAAAGAAGTATATCACCTTTTCTGGTCTTTGTGGTAGAGGTGGGCTGGGGAGAAGTAGGGTAGCATAAGAATGGATTCGCTAGCAAGTGGCTTCTGCCACATTCTTTGTGACTTAAGCACCCATAGGCCCACTCTTAGCTATTTCACATCAAACCTCATATCTGGAGCCCTGAGTGTTTCTTCTATTCCCTCCTCTGTGACAGCTTACAGAAGGGCTATGGTCTTGGCAGGAATAAGAAACCAGGTGCAGGGCAATGGATCACTTTTTTTGGGGTCCAACTTTTTATTGTAAACTGAGTGAAGGTTTATAGAACAGATAATCAGTTTTACAATCAACAAATCATGTACTTTTCTTCACTTGTTGTTAGGTGCCATTGAGTTGGTACCAACTCACAGCGACACTATGCACAGCAGAACGATACACTGCCCTATCCTGGGCCAACCTCACCACTGTTGCCACGCTTGAGTCCATCAATGCTGCCACTTGGCCAATCCATCTTGTTGGGGGTCTTCCTTTTTTTCTCTGACCCTCCACCATATCATGATATCCTTCTCCAGTGACTGGTCCCTGCTGACAATATGTCTTAAGTACGAGAGATGAAGTTTGGCCATCTTGGCCTTCAAGGAGCACTCTGGCTGCACTTCTTCCAACACAGATCTGTTGGTTCTATGGGCATCCCATGGCACTTTCAATATTCTCCTCCAACACCGTAACTCAAAAGCATCAATTCTTCTATGGTCTTCCTTATTCACTGTCCAGCTTTCACATGCATATGAGGTTATTGAAAATACCATGGCTTGGGTCAGGCGCTCCTTAGTCTTCAAACTGACATCTTTGCTCTTCAACACTTTCAAAAGGTCTTGTGCAGCAGATTTGCCTAATGCAACACGTCATTTGATTTCTTGACTGCTGCTTCTGTGAATGTTGATAGTTGATCAAAGAAGAATGAAGTCCTTGACAACTTCAGTCTTTTCTCCATTGATAAGAATGTTGTTTATTGGTCCAGTGGTGAGGACTTTTGTTTTCTTTACGTTGAGATATAATCCATACGGGAAGGCTGTGCTCTTTGATCTTCATCCATAAATATTTTAAGTCCTTTTCACTTTCAGCAAGCAAGGTTGTATCATCTGCATATCGCTACCTGGTTGTAATCCCCTCCACATCCCAACAGTTAACAGTATTGACCTCTATTCACTTTATCTATTGCATTCTTCCCTGTTCCCTTCATCTTTCCTCTGCTAACCTCCCTCTTATTGTTTGTGCAATGGATCCCTTTTATATGACCTTTCTACCTATGGTCTTGTAACTCACCAAATGATTGAATGGGACTATACAAATAAAGCACTTTTGATCCTCCAAGGGATTGGACAGTTTATTAATAATGCAATAAGATGCATGGAATTCTTGTAGGGGTGGGGCCATGTAAATAAGGTGTATGGAACCCTAAGGAGGGACTTGGTCAGTTTTGCCATCCTCCTAGGGTTAAAATGAACCATCCCAGAGGCAGAGAGAAGAACTTCATTACCACCAAGAAGAAGAGCTGAGAGGGGGACACGTCCTTTGGCTCCAGGGTCCCTGCACTGAGAACCTCATAGATCCAGGAGACAGAGATCGCTGTAACACTGGAGATGGAGCCAGATCTTGAGAACCAGTGACAGCAAAAATAGGAGATAAGATAGTGTGGTAGGCTTCCTGTCCCACAGAGCACGGCATTTACTGATCTATGGAACGAGAGAGTTGCGTGCCTTTGGGTAGGAGGTTTCCTGGTGGAGTGGGCTGTTTCTGGGCACCTACTGGGGAGCTAAACACTTTGTAACAGCCTCAGGGGACAGGGGCTGAGGAAGAGGTGTGCTTGCAGGCATGTTGGAGGAGCTGTCCTGACAGAAGAAGTATATTCTGAATTGTTTCTGACCCTGAATAGTGATTATGTGATGGGGACTGGCCTC